AGGGTTCAGGGTTCAGGGTTTAGGGCTTAGGGTCCAGGGCGTAGGGTTCTTAATGGGCATCATACGAGCTTAGGGTTCAGGGCTCGGGACTGTTGAGGGGGATCATATGTGCAAGTGTTAGTTGGGGTCAGGGTGCCAGGCGCTGAAAGGGGAAAAATTGGGAAGGCGGGGGGGGGGGGGGGGGGGTGGGTGAGGGGGAGGATCAAGGCAACTGAGCTAGGAAGCCGGAGGGAGAGGGGAGTTCGAGTGAAAGATTTCAGGCTTTCTATGCGTAGATCCTATGGGGTTTGGGGTTTAGGGTTTGAACCCTACTCAAAGGGGGAGCGGTGCTGAATATAGGTCTTGTGAAGTATTTCGAGGCTGCAGGTAAGTCCCTCCAATGGACTTCATCCAAGAGGGGTTTGCGAACCTTGAAACCAACAACTTCCCATGCGAGCTTGTAGGACTTAGGCTTAGGTTTTACAATTCGCACTTTTAGGGAGAAGCATTGCTTCTGAATACTTGGTTTACCTTAGAAGTTAGGGCTCAAAAGACCTTGCTTGTAGATATGAGGAGATCAGAAGCTTGTACTCCTATCATATAGGGGACTTCAGAAACGAACTTGCGTCTCTGCACATGACTGCCTCTTGGTTTGGCTCTGCAGTCATTCCAAGGCAGCCCATGAGAAGCACCAAAACCCTAAACCCTAAACCCTAAACCCTAAAACTTTCGTTAACAAGCCAACAACAACCCGAACACCCAATGCAACCCTCGGCCACCGAAATGCCCAAGACCCCTCAAGGGGGCTTTTCAAGTAATGGGTGGGCTTGAAGGACGCGGGCTGAAATTCGTGGGGTGACAAAGGGCTGAAGGGTTTGAGGTTTTAGGGTTTCAGGGTCTTCGGGCTTGGGGTTTGGAAGAGTAGGGTTTCAGGGCTTTAGGGGCTTACTCTCTAAACCCTATAGACGTAAACCCTAAATTGGGGGCTGCAGCATTTAGGAGTTGGCATTCGATAGGTTAGGGTTTAGGGTTTAGGGTTTAGGGTTTAGGGTTTAGGGTTTAGGGTTTAGGGCTTGAGTTTAGGGATGGTGCCGACCTCGGACTCCACATTGATGACAGCTGGCGCAAAAACCGCCTCTGTATCGTCGGAACAAAAAAATGGGACACCCACAAAAACCCCCCAAAAGACCTCCCAAGAGTCGGATTCCCATATAATAACTTACTTCTCCAATAACCAAGGGAAAACAAGGTTAAACATGATTCCTACTAAATAAGGAAACCCAATAAGGTTTAAAGCTCAGCTGTTGGAGAAGTAAGATAAGGACCCCAATAAGGAGGCCGGTGACCACTTGAGCCTCTATGAAGTAGGGTCTATATGCCTTGTATCCCCCAAAGGACACTCAATATGTACACTCACCAATACTCAAAAGGAACCTTAGATACACTCACCCATAACAGTACTACAAACCCTGCTTCAAAGGAGGTTTTACAAGGGTTTTTAGGATTCAGGGTGTAGGGTTTAGGGTTTTTGGTTTCCGAAACTAGGGGTACCTTATTGGGGTTATTATGAGCGAATCCTACTATGGGGTGGGTCTTTGGGTGCATCCCTTATTCCCAACAACCCAAAAATTCTAAAACCCCAAAAGCCCCAAAAGCCTATAAATCCCCTAAACCCGATAGCACCCTACACCCTTCAACCCATGTCACCCTAAGCCCTAAAACCTTAGAGGGATTGGGTCTCTTAAAAGGGGCCCAAACCCTAAATCCCCACTGCAAGGAGGGGCCCCCTTACTGTACTAACCGTAGCTAAGGGACTTAAAACCTAATTATTTAGGATCCTGATAATAATTTAGGGCTCTTACAACTCTACTGATAACTAGGGGGCCCCACCTTGTACACCCTGCACCCTGCAGCCCCAACCCTCGAAATGGACTTGGCGGGGGGCCTTCTAGAAAAAACCTTTTGCTTGAGGGGGAGCTTGGGATAGTTTGAGGTTATAGTTTTTAGGTTAGGATTTGCGTATCGGGTATTAGGCTTTAGATTTAAAAGTTAAGGGGTCCAGATTTTCGGGTCCGCTAGTTAACCAAGGCGAGGGCGCGGGAAGTAGCAAGGCAAAGCGCTCCCAAACCCCAACTCCCCAATACCCTAAACCCTAAAACCCTAAAACCCTAAAACCCTAAACCCTATACCCTAAACCCTAAAACCCTAAAACCCTAAACCCTAATGCCCTAATTTTGAAACACAAATGAGAGTCTACGATTATAAGGGACCCCAAGGGCCCCCGAACCCTAAACCCCCTACTCACCCTAAGGTAACCCCCAAAGGCGCAGTCCCTCAGGGCCTTAAGCCTGCCTACTTTACTAGGGTTTAGGGTTTAGGGTTTAGGGCTTAGGGCCGCACCCCAGCCTTGGCGCTTAGTTTGTTTCTGGGTTTTTGCGTTTTGAGTTTTGAGCTGCTAGCAGCGTTGGTGTTGTCTGAGGGTCCGAAATGTTTTGGGGTTGTAGGTTGTTGGCTTCATAGTTGATTTTCTTCAGGGCCTTTGCAGCTATTGGATTTTCAAGCCGAACTATACATTATGGCAACATAAAAACAAAACACCACCAAGCCTAACAGCCCTAAAGAACCAACTACCCGAAACACCGAACCCTAAAACCTAAAACACTAAAAGCTGTGCACCTTCTCTTCAAGCTCCTGGTTCGCGGTGCTCAAAAAAGGCTTCTCGTCGATCCTGGGATTTCGCTCGGTATGGTGTTTGGTTTGGGGGGCTTTGGACCGATTAGGGCTTAGGGTTTAGTTTAGGGTTTAGGGTTTAGGGTTTAGGGTTTAGGGCTTAGGGCTTAGGGCTTAGGGCTTAGGGTTTAGGGTTTAGGGTTTAGGGTTTAGGGCTTAGGGCTTAGGGCTTAGGGTTTAGGGTTTAGGGTTTAGGGTTTGGGTTCATGGGGATTAGTGTTCCCAGGGTTGAGAGGCTTCAGGATCTATGGAATCTTAGACAGGTTTGTAGGGTTGACTACAGTTTGCTTAAGAACCTTCTGCCCAACAAATCACATCTTCCTTGTAAGGGTCACATATAATATAGAAATTACTATCTCGCATTCCCGAAGGGGTTTCTTCAGTGAATAGTAGTTCAGGAGAATGTTAGTACAATCCCCTCCCCCTAATATTAACCCCACCCCCCCTACCCCTCCATTATATTGCATACTGATCATGGGAGTTTAGGGTTTAGGGTTTAGGGTTTAGTGTTTAGGGTTTAGGGTTTAGGGCTTAGGGGATTGAATACGAGGGGTAGGGAAGGCTTACTAGGATCTCCCCCTAAAGCATATTCCTGAACATGATCCTCTTAAACCCATAAAAGGGGAAATACAATTGGGCCCTAAGGGCCTACCGAGTTTAGGGTTTAGGGTTCAGGGTTTAGGGTATAGGGTAATATTAAGCAGAGGGGATTCAGTGCCTCTGAGATCTCGCGCTTGTGGCGGACTTTGGGGGCTTTCGGGTTTCGGTGACCTGGTGCACGCGCTTGGACAAGCGATGTTCATCCCGAAGCCCTAAATCCCAAACCCTAAACCCTAATTCCTAAGCCCTAAACCCTAAACAATTTCTAAATCCTCAGCAAGGGCGGGGGGTTGAGAGTGCAGTGACGCGAGCATCGAAACTGTCAAAAGCCTTCGAAATTTCAAGATGTCCAAGATTAGGATCCTACCCTGGTTGGCTTGTAGGGGTTTAGGGTTTAGGGTTTCGGGTTAAGGGTTAGGAGGTTGCGGTCTGTCTAAGTGTCCGGGGCTTCTGGCTGTCCGAATTCACGGTTCAGGTTTCATGGACACGCGGCATCAGCAACTAGTGCGCGGGCGGTGTTCCTGCCTTTCTTTGCCAGCGACAGCTCTAGGAAAAGCGCTCTTAATCCCCTTCCTTGAAGATCCTGGCTAACACTAAACCCTAATTAAGCCCTAAGCCCTATTAATTCGCGGGCTTGCTTCAGGATTAGGGCCTTCCCCTCTGTGGAACCAAGTCTCACAAACGCATCCTGGCTGTTGCTGCATCCGCAGCTTACCGCCCCCATGGCGCGCGAGGTCTCTTCTTGCTTCTACGACAAGGACGCGACACGTGTTGTGTGGATCCTGAGACCGTGGGAGAACCCTAAACCCTAAACCCTAAACCCTAAACCCTAACAACCCTAACAACCCGAACAACCCTAACAACCCTAACAACCCTAACAACCCTAAACCCAGAGCCTTCAGACTTCATCCTGTGCGGCGGCCGCTGCAACATGCCGATTGCTTCCAGGGAATTCCGTGGAGCCACTTGGGGTCGGATGATCACCTTAGACCCTAAACCCGAAAACCTAAACCCTAAACCCTAAACCCTAAACCCTAAACCTTAGACCCTAAACCCTAAACCCTAAACCCTAAACCCTAAACCCTAAACCCTAAACCCTAAACCCTAAACCCTAAACCCTAGACCCTAGACCCTAGACCCTAAACCCAAACTGCTTCTCCAAGAGCCAGGACCTCAATTGGCCCTCAAAGACGCTTTACCTTAGGTTCCACATAGGCCACAACACTTTCTATTTCTGAGAACCCTAAACCCCAAACCCCAAACCCTATAAACCCTTAACCCTAAAACCTAAACTTCTAAACATGTGACGTTTTGGGGTGCACTATACGAAACATAAACTACATAAATACATAAATATAAATGAATAAGTACAAATGAATATAAATCTATATATATATATATATTGGGTTTTCTTATTTTTCCTTTGCTTATATATAAGGCTCCGTATTTGAATGGGAACCCCAACACAGACACCCAAGCGAGGTCGATGTTACTTGTGAACACGCCCGAACAAACCGCGGCACGGCTGAACCCGCGTGTCCTGCCAGACATTGTTGGTACTCCTCCTGTTTTGGAATCCCCCCCCCCCCCCCCCCCTGCGACCCGCCCTAGACCCTAAACCCAAATTATACTTGAACCCTGAACCCTTTCACCCTAAACCGTAAGCCCTAAACCCTAAACCCTAAACGCGCCTCCTGGAGTGCCAGGCACAGGGCCTCGGGGTTCTTGGGTGCCTTCGCGCGGCTGCATTCTAGAACTGGATTCCCCAAAACCTTGAAAACACAGTAGAGTTTAGGGTTTAGGGACGCAAAACCACCCAATGTTCCTCCCCCCCTTCCCCCGCCGCTCCCCCCTCAAAATTCCCTACGTAGTCTCCGGGACTGGACCCCCCTGCCTGTAAAGGTGTATTTTAGGGCCTGGATAATTAAAATAAACCCACTGTAGCCCCAACAGCAAAGAAGGCTAAAGATGCTTCAACCTCGGATGCGATGCTTTCATGATCTTTCATGTATTATAAAATATAGTTTCCAGGCTTTTGGGAATTGCAAAAGTTCACAAAGTCTTCGCTGCTGGGCAGAAACAGCACAAATCCCGCGCGGACCTGCGCGGACCCCTCGTGTTGTCGGGAATTTAGCTCCAAGCACCAAGCGCGGACCATGAAAAACCTCGACAAAACAAGCGCGGACCTCCGTCCGGGCTTTTGGGAATTACAAGCTTAACAAAGAAACAGATACCCACGGACCATGGAACAAGTCCTTGCATAGCTTAGCATACTGTTTGCAAGGAAGACTTAGCAGCGACTTAGCATGCATCGCTTTTACACTTATTGTATACCACCAGGCTAAGCCACTGCATGGGGGGAAAGGGGCCAGCCTCCGGAACCCGCTCCGGAACCTGCTCCGGAACCCGCTCCAAAACCGCTCCGGAACCCTTTCCAAAACCCGCTCCGGAACCCGCTCCGGAACCTGCTCCGGAACCCGCTCCAGTAGTCAAGGGCTGGAGACCCCATCGCTTCGCTGTTGGGGAAAATAGGGTTTGGGGGGTTTTTCTAGTATAATCATACAGGGCCCCTAAGGGAAAACTATTAGCGAATTCCGACCCCCATATTAGGGTTGGCAGGGTTTGGGGTGGAGGCCTTCTCCACGATCACCTCGACGTTGGCCGAAACCAACCGCGGTTGAGAGTTTAGAGTTGAGGGTTGGGATGCTCCCCCTTATACAAACAGTCCTTAATGGGGATTACAGCACCCCTTGCTAGAAGTTGTTTGTTAAGGACCGTCAGTATAAGGGGGCACTAAACCCTAAACCCTAAACCCTAAACCCTAAAGCCTAAACCCTAAACCCCTAAACCCTAAACCCCTAAACCCTAAAACTTGAACCCTAAACCCTAAAACTTGAACCCTAAACCCTAAGTCCCAAACCCCAAACCCTTAACCCTGAACACCGATAAGGCTCGCCTTGGCTTCCACCTGTGCTGCGCACTGGCACAGCGCGTCGCCTTGCACGAAGTGCACTTCGAGGGTTCGAGGGTTTAGGGTTTAGGGTTTAGGGTTTAGGGCTAGGGTTTAGGGCTTTAGCTTCGTGTTTCGGGTTCTAGGGTTTCGGCTTCTTGAGCTACGGTCTGAGCTCCTTCCAGCAATTTTCAGACTTGTCTGGAGAAGTTAAGTCTGTGCTTGAAAGGAGGGAAATTAATCGAAAGATGCCACACAATCAACCTAGTTAGTGTTCGTTGCTAGTGTTCGTTGCTAGAGGGAAGTCGCCACTCTGCAGGGACGAGGCGCTGCTTGTGACCCTTCTTGCAGGTGCATGGGCCGCATGGGGGACTTATGGATAGGGTCACGAGTCAACGCCAATTATGACCACATGTATAGCTAAGCCACGAAGAACCCCATGTTCTACCTACCCCTGAAACTCCAAAGCATGTCTTGAGGTGCTCTAAAAACCTTACCAGAACCTCTAGACCCAAGAGTAACCTAGGATAAAGAGGTTTAAAGAGCCTTACAAGGAAACCTAGACCATAAAACGGGAATAAGGGCCTACTCTGGGTGCTCGACCTCCCGCCAAGCCTACACCAACAGAACAGGATCTCCGCCACCCGCCAAGACAAAGATGTATCCCGAATCCCCATACAAACCTTTGACACCTTGCCCACTAAACCGAATACCCTAGACGCTAACCCCTAAACCCTGAACCCTAATTATATCCTAAACCCTGAGCCCTAAACCCTAAACCCTAAGCCCTCAAACCTACACCCTAAACCCTAAACCCTAAACCCTAAACCCCTAACCCCTCAAGCCTAAACCCTAAACCCAACTCATCGAACCAACTGGCCTCTTTGGGTTTGCAAGGCCTAGGGCTGTCTTGCACCCCAAGAGCGTGGGAAGTACTTGCGCCCGATCTTACCCCTAAACCCTAAACCCTAAACCCTAAACCCTAAACCCTAAACCCTAAACCCTAAACCGTAGACTTGCATGCCCAGCCGCGGAGCTGCGGGTAGGAGGGCTCATAGGTCTCCAGCAGCTTGCCAGCAGCCATGTCAGAGCTTCTGGTTTAGGGCTTAGGGCCCCCCCTATACCCTCCAAGCTCATAACCCCTGTGAGCTTTCTATAATTAGGCCCCGCCAGGCCCATAAAAACCTAAACCCTAAACCCTAAACCCTAAACCCTAAACCCTAAACCCTATAAACCCTAAACCCAGAAGCTGAGGCCCATTTAGGGTCTACCTTCAGAACCGAAAACCTGCGTTTAAGTAGGTTACCTACTTGGAGGTTCAGGGTTTAGGGTTTAGGGTTTAGGGTTTAGGGTTTGGAGGTTGAGGGTCTAGGTTTGAGCTGTTTCTAGGGTTTATGGGAGGGTATAGGTTCGGCTTTATGGTCTTGCGGTAGGTGCTTACGCAGGGTTCAGGTTGAAAGGTCTAGGGTGGTGCGACTCTTTAGATACATCCAGCCGTGAGCCTTAAACGCTGTGACTCGAAACCCTGCCACTTCGAGTCGCAAAAGCTCAAACTAGGGTTTAGGGATTAGGGATCGGGTTTAGCGTTTAGGGTTTAGCCTGAATCCCAAAACATGTCTGGTGGGTCTTGGCACGCTTTCTCAGAACCTTGAGCCTGTAAGGCTGTGGCGGCAGCTGTGCGACGAAGTCTACACCCTTGTCCCTGTATAGGTGATACGACCGATAAACCAGTGGAAGCCCAAACCCTCAAAAAAAACCAGAAAACCTTCTTAAAGCCCTTGAAACCCTCTAAGCCCCGAAACTATTGAAGCCACTAACCCAGGTCCCCCGCCGCTTGCTTCTCTGCCCTCCCCCTGCCCTCCCTCGTCCTGGATGAAGTCTTGTAAGTTTCAAGTACTTAAAGGGCTCCAATGCATGCCCACACCCCCACCACTCTCCCCACCCCCGTTCTCCCCGCCCCCTAAACTGTAAACACTAAAGCCTAAACCTAAGCCCACCTTACGCCATAAGCCCCTCCAAACTCAACCCGGGGCTCTTACAAAGTGGAGCTTTGTACCCCTACTTGGAGGTTCATGGGACTTACTCACCACTTATAACTGGCCTTATTACCCTACGGTAGTCTAAGTGGGGTTATAAGTACAGTTCTAATTGGTTAGTAAGTACCATGAACCTCCAAGTAGGGTTTGGGTTAGGCATGGCGCGCGAAGCATCCTGCCGCCCATTCCCTGAGCCCTCGTTTAGAGCTTGGGGCTCAGGGTTAAACGGTGAACGTTTAGGGTTTAGGGTTTAGGGTTTAGGGTGGCCCCCACCCCAAAAAGCCCTCAAAGGAAACCCCTGTCTGCGGGAAAGGCGGGATGATGGCAGCGGGGGGTTGAGGGGATTATAGGCAGGGTTTAGAGTTGAGGGTTTAGGGAGGCCTATGGTTAGAAGGTCCTGGGAGTATCGGGGTGAGCCACAGCCCTTCCTTAGACTACCTACTCGAAACCGCTTTCTGAAGAATTCTGCTAGTTGCCATATAACAGATCTCATAACCCCTCAATCCTGAACCCTAAACCCTACACCCTAAACCCCAAACCCTAAACCCCAAACCTTAACGTCGCCACGCAAACAAGAGGAACACATGCCAGGCCACCTGAGACCGAAGGGATCGGGGGCCACACCGAGCGATGTGGTACACGTGCACCTGCGCATGGGGGGGGGGGGGGGGGGAGACGCGGCCCCCAGACCCGATAGGGGTTTAGGGTTTAGGGTTTTAGGGGGAAGACGTGGCCCCCAGTTAGGGGTTGTTACATGGTCTACATGTCCTTTAGGGAACCCTGACAGAGCCCTCAGACACCCTTCAAACCCCAAGAAACCCAGACGTCAGAACCCCTTTAGGGAATGTAATGCACCATTTTAAGGGACCATGTGGCTTCCAGACCCGAGAAGACCTACACCCTAAACCCTAAAACCCTAAACACCCTGTAGGGTTCCGGGGCCAACCGCAGGATGAGCCTTGAAAATTAAATCTCAGAGGCCTTCGGTTTCATAGTATCCGCAGGCTCGAAGTAGGTAGGAGTTTAAGGTTTAGGGTTTAGGGTTAGATTCATTCCTCAGCCCTATCCCAAACCCTAACCCCCATAACCATAAACCCAAAAGCCTAACCTGCGGGAAAAATCGTCTTGGTTGAGGGTTCAGGGCCTTTAGAGGGTTTAGGTTTAGGGTTTGGGGGGCTTCGGATGTGTCACGGCTCCGGCTTCTTGATGAGCAGAGTTACCAGTGAACCCCAAACGCCAAAACCCTGCTAGCCGAATTCGTCCCCAAACCTCAAAGCCGATTCTGAACTCTAAGCCACACACACCGTATTCACAGGATTTTCAGCACTTTTAGGTGGAGGCTGAGGCTGTTGGGGTTTGGATTCTGGTGGGATGTCGTAGTTCTCCCCTTTTTTGAGGTGCCGTACTACATAGGGACCCCAAGGACCCTAATGTAGAAAACCACCCCTGTTTTTGGCATAGGGATTTGGAGTTTCGGATTTCCGGCGAGGCACCACTGGAGGAGCTGATGGCACTGCATCGCGAAAGACCTGTGGACAAGCCCCCTAAACCCTAAACTACATTTAGGTTTTAGGGTTTTGGGTTTGGGGCTTAGGGTTTAGGGTTTGAGGTCTAGAGCTTCGGGTTTGGGTTTTAGGGGGCTTGGGATGGAGGGCTTTGGCTCCCAACAAATTTACTTCGTCAACAGTGAACCCTTGACTACAGTTTGCTCAAGAACACCAAGGACATGTAAAATGACAATCTTTAAATGGGGGGGGAAGGGCGGGGTTTCCCAAAGTAGGGGTTACCTTCTTGAGGCCCTTCTTATAAGGTGATCCTACTATTTGGGGGGGGGGGGGGTCTATTTTAGGGTCCCCTATTTTCGTACATCCCCATACTACCCTTATAAGGAAGAATATTTTCTATGTTTGGGAGGCGCTCTTAAGCAAATAGTAGTTCATGGGGTTTGCAAGGAAACCTGGGCCCGCCCCTCCCTCCAACCAAGACAGGAAAAAGGGCTTGAGGTTTCAGGTGTTTAGGGGACCCTAAACCCTTAGCCCTGAACCCTTAACCCTAAACCCTAAACCCTGAACCCTGAACCCTAAACCCTGAACCCTAAACCCTGAACCCTGAACCCTAAACCCTGAACCCTAAACCCTAAACCCTGAACCCTGAACCGTGAACCCTAAACCCTCTTTGGGTTTGAGGTGTTCGGGATTGAAGGCTGTTGGGGTTGACTCGTTCAGGGGGATTTGACGCATGCTTGGGGCTTGCTCTCTCGGCGGGAAGGATGACAAAACGATGCGCTTCACATGAACCAAAAGCATGGCCTTGCAACCTCAACGCTCTTCGGGTTTAGGGTTTAGGGTTTAGGGTTTAGGGTTTAGGGTTTAGGGTTTAGGGTTTAGGGGTATAAAAGGTCCATCTCAATCCCCACCAACACGGAGCCTGGACCTGAGAGGTGAGCGGGAGGCAGGGGGCGCGAAAGCCTTACACCCCTAAAACCGAACCCCAAAGCCCTAAGCCTGAACACCCTAAACCCTAAACCGCAAACCCTAAACCCTAAACCCTAAACCCTACACCCTAAATCCCCCAGGCCTCCACCTCAAAGAGGAGAGGCTCGGAGGCCTCTGGAGCTGGGGGAAAGGAGCAGATTTGGCTTAGGGTTTAGGGTGTAGGGTTTAGGGTTTAGGTTAGGGTTTTAGGGTTAGGGGTTTAGGGCTTAGGGCGTAGGGCTTATAGGGTTTAGGGTTTAGGGTTTAGAGGTCTAAGTTGCTTGCACCGTGGATTTCCAAGTGAAATTAGCTTAGTTCTGGGCTTGGGTACCTGGGAATCGAAAAGGTTGGTGTCAAGGGCCCATAAGGGAACCTCAACGCCCTAACAAAAGTTGGTTGGTTCAAGTGGACTGGTTCCACCAGATCGTGGGCGCAGCCCCCTGAAAGAAGTCCCTCGAGATCATTGATCACAGTCACAATAAGCTCGTGGTTCTTTTGTGTTCTACCCCGCTGGGTTTAGGGTTTAGGGTCTAGGGTTTAGGGCTTAGGGTTTAGGGTTTAGGGTTCAGGGTTTAGGGAGCGCATCGTTCATACCCAACCCTGGAGACACCATCACGCCTCAAACAGATTCTAAACTCCCTTGCTTTCGCTCAACCAAGCATGCTGGTGTTCACGCCGAAAAGGGCGGGGCGCAACGGGGCTCCGTCCTACCGGGCCGCGACGTTACCAGAACTCGACTGAGGGTCAAGGTTTGCTGGTGTGAAAACCAAAAAACGAACCGATGAAGCGTCTCAACGTCTATCCTGGGCTTGCCTTTTTCCCCTAAACCTTAAACCATAAACCCTAAACCCAGTCCCATACTGAACTTGGAACCCTAGCAAAATTATTTTTCGCTGTTTCTTAGGAATTATTAAATTATAGTACCCAAAAATTAAAAAAATATGTCCAAGCTGTCTCTTGGCTCTTGCTCGGGCTCGACTGCAGATGCCGCCGGGTCCAGCTCTCTACTAGTTGCTTAAGAATTAAACAACCCCCCAAAGAGTAAAGAATATTCTTCCTTATTAAGGGAAATATAGGGATCATCATTTCTTATTCTTTTGAGGTTGTTAAGCAAATAGTAGCTCTGGCTGAGGCTCACTGCCATCCCAGCGGGCTCCCCGAAGTGAACTTCAGAATTCTAGTCGGATGAGAGCAGTTCCTGGGGTTTCTGACGGCACAAGCACCGGCGCAAAAAAAAAGGTCAGCAACCGACAGCCCTGCCGCAGATGATCAGGCGATAACAAACCCAAAGCCCGAACATCTCTAAATAGTCCCCCCACTCCAACCCCTTACAACGCAGCCACCCGCAAGCTTGGGAAGCCCTTTCACCTGGAAAGCTCTCTACTCTTATGGCGAAACATAAGATCCCTCAGACATGACAGAGCTGCAAGAAGCTCGCTCAAGGGAGCACTGAGCACCCCGACACCGGAACCGCTTTTGCCGCCTCAGCATCAGAACAAAAAATCTCCCTCCCAGAGTTTAGGGTTTAGGGTTTTAGGGTTTAGGGTTGTAGGGCTTTAGGGTTGAGGGTGTAG